GTTAATTAAAATCCCAATATTTTTGTTTTTATTTTTATAAATCCCAAGTTTCCATAATGCAGTAAAACCTTATTGTATTCTATTATTTTACTGCATTACTGCATTTTACTGCATCTATCTATCTATCTATCTCTACCTACCTACCCATCTCTCTATCTCTCTATTTCTCTCTCTCTCTCTTTTTGCTCTATAAAAATACTAGCTCGATACTGGTGCTTCGCTACGAAACTATGTGATCAGGCTTAGTTTTGGGGAGGAAAATAAGGGGAAAAAATTCTGCCTCTGCCTACCAGCATCCACTGGTATTCATCTGGCTAGCGTCCTGTCAGTGTGTGAGAGAGTTGAGGGCTGTTTGGAAACCGAAACAGTATTTGCTGTGTGAGCAAGAAGGAGACAGCAAGGAGCCTGGGAGTGACTTAGCTCAACTGTTCTGTACTAAAGCTGAAACTCTCCTCTCTGGTTGTGTTTTGCATTTGGAACAGATTTCTTTTCAGGTGGGGAGGAGGAGTAAAACTCCTTAGCATCGGAGCTTGTTAATAATAATATTATACGAAATACTAACGCTCTGATGGTCATTCCCAAAAATCCTTTCTTAGTGAGCACCTGGAAGCCAAGAGGAACATCTGTGCCAAATTTCAAGTTTTCAAGGATTTATGGTTCTGGAGATTTTGTGATGATGCATGAGTGGTATTTCGCTTTTATTTATATATATATATCTGCAGGGATGTAGAGAAGAACTGATGGAGCTCCAAATCAGAAGGAATGGGGGGAGTTACTGGTAGTCCTCGACTTAAGAACGGTTTATTTAGTGACCATTCAAATTTACACCTTTGTTGAAAAAAAAAAGGGACATGACTGTTTTTCAATACTTTGTAGCATCCTCATGGCCACGTGATCAAAATTCAAGTCAGTTGGCAATTGACTCTCATTTATGATGATTGCAGTGTCTTGTGACTAGATTCACTTAAAAACCGTGTGACCAACTTAACAACGGCAATGATTCGCTGCGCAAAGGAAGACCATAAAACGGGCCACAAAATTCGCTTAGCAACGTAAATTTTGAGCCCAGTTGTGGTCATAGGTCAAGGACTACCTGTGCTGGAGTGGCAATCATTTACCTGTCATTTCCCCCCCTCCTTTGTAACCCTGAAAGGTTATAGTTCAAAGAGGGGACATGAATTCCTCACCTACCCTATACAGGGCCTCTTCTCTCCGTGTTTCCTACCCCTTGTTCTAGCTTCAGTTTCCTGCCTGCTCATGCATTGGCTAAATCAAAAGATACTAACTGCTAAAGGGAGAGAGAAACTCTACTATCCATTCGCTTGAGTCAAACATGCCTGGCTGTTGAGCAGGAATTTCTAGCCTTTGCGTTAAATGATCAAGGTTTGAATTAAGGTCTGGGGTTGATGCTTTTGTAGTTTAGCCTGAAACGGAAACGACTGTTTAAAAAAAAAATTTTTTTTTTTTTGCTGGCTTATATAATAACACCGTGAAATTGGCACCTTCCTCTTGTTTTCTGCAGTTATTCTGAGGCCCTTATACTACTAGTAGTATCTTGGATGCATAGCAACTGATCCAGAAAGAGTTTTCTCTGGATGTATGAACGAACATCTTTGAAATGTAGACCTGCTAGCAGAAGCCATGTGTGTCTTTTTTTTCTTATTTTTGCACGCTTCTGGGCTTCTGCATTACAACTTTTAGCTACTTATCGTATTGCTGCAGGTAGTTCTTGACTTATAACTGTTCATTTACCGACCATTCGATCTTACAACGGCACTGAAAAAAGCGACTTATGACCGTTTTTCACACTTATGATTGTTTTTCACACTTATGATTGTTTTTCACACTTACGACCGTTGTAGCATCCCATTGGTTGTGTGATCAAAATTCAAACGTTTGCCAAATGACTCATTTAAATTTTTTTTTTTATTAAACATAACAGTTAAAAAACATTGAACGTAGTGGAGTCATTTTGACATAACTTTTGGTCATCATTCTAGTGAAATATAATAGAATATAGATCTAATATACATTTATACATATACATATACATACACATATACATATATACACACACACACATATATATATATATATATATATGTTTTCTGAGGTTCTCGCGGGTATTTGTATGTGGATCTTTGGTTATTCGGGTTTTCTCCCGCGTAAGATTCAAAGTATCTAGGCAACGTTTCGGCGAGGTCCCACTCGCCATCTTCAGGCTGGTGCTTTCGGCTTAGTGCCAGTGCAAGCAAGTTTGTGACTCACAAACAAAAAAATCTCCACACCACAAGCCAGGCAAACACCTGGGCACAAACAGATCCCCCCTGATACCTCCAGCTCAAACACATCCCAACCAGGCACCCAGATGAAACCCAGCTTCCTAACTAATGATAGCCGTCCATTTACCCGAAGCCAAGCTGCACTAAAGGCCTCCATTAAAGCAACACAATGCTGCCAGCCAATCAAGATACAAAAAGAGCCAAAAAACAGACAGAAGATATTAGAGACACCAATCAAGCAGAACACAGCAAACTCCGAGACCAATAAACACAGACCAAGACTCCCAACCAATCAGGATGAAGAAAAAACCATTCTGGCACAGCAATAGGCTGCCCCAAATTCAAATCTGAAACCACCGTAAAAGTCTGACTCACAGACGGACACAATACAGAAGCCTGATGATGGCAGATGAGATTCTGCTGAAACGTTGCTACAACTTTAAAAGAACAACTACAATGACGTGGGAAAATACCCGAACCAAGCCGAACACCATACATATATATATATATATACACACACATTTATTCATCCTTATTTACATCTTCCAACACTTTTAGTTTTATTTAAGTCTCACAGATGTCCTCTTAACAATTCTTTTCACTCTTGAGTCCTTCCTTTCTGTCCCCACCAATAGTAAGATCTCTTCCAAATTACATAATATTCCGATTCATCTTTATTTTTCATCTCTAATGTTAACCTATCCATTTCAGTGCAAGTCAGAATTTTATTTATTACTTCATCTTCACTAGGAATTTCTTTCTCTTTCCACTTCTGGGCAAATAACCATTCTTGCCGCAGTGATGACATGTATTATCAAATACAGCTCTTCCTTATTGTATTTCTTTGGTATAATTCCCAATTAAAAACATTCTGGTCTATGGTCTATTTTAAATCCCATCATTTCTTCCAACCATTTCCCAACCCTGTGCCAAAACTCTTGTGCTCTTTTACATTGCCACCATGCATGGTCATATGTGCCTGCCAAATGACTCATATTAATGACAGTTGCAGGGTTCCGGTCCTGTGATCCCTTTTTGTGACCTTCTGACAAGGTCACAAGGCTCAGTTAAGGACCTAAGTCAAGGACCTTCTTTAGGCAAATTGTGTGTGTGCACGCAAGAAACATCTTCACTACTAGATTCATGAGAAAAATTGGATGCCAGAATAATATATAACTGCCTAAAATGAAATTATCCAGCCTTATCAAAAGGGATGTTTGTTTAGGATGATGCTATCTGATTTGGAGAAAGCAAATATCGTCATGAATCTGAATTGAACTTTCAATAGCTTGTCAATGCCTCTTTTGTGCATGTGTTCATTGCAGACCTGGTACGAGAAGAAGGCAACTTGGTACCTTGATTTCTTTTAGGATGAAAATCAATACTTTGTGTAGATAGATATATATATATATATATCTAGAAACAAGGCTTCTCAAATATATAGGTCTGGTTTGGCACTGCAACCCAACAGGACAGACACAGACTCCAGAGGATAATTAGGACTAGACATAAACTGTTTCAACTCCTTCCCTCAAAACGACGCTATAGAGCACTGCCCACCAGAACAACTAGACACAAGGACAGGTTTTTCCTGAATGCCATCACTCTGCTAAACAAATATTTTCCCCAACACTGTTCAGCTATTTACAAAGTCTGCATTACTATTACTATTAACCTTCTCATCACTCCTTATCACCCATCCCCTCCCACTTGCGACTGTATGACTAACTTTGTTGCTTGTATCCTTACGATTTATACGGACTGTTTCCTAGTATGATTCAATTGCTTATTGTACCCTATGACTATTATTAAATATTGCACCTTATCATTGTTGACGAATGTATCTTTTCCTTTATGTACACTGACTGCATTTGCACCAAGACAAATTCCTTGTGTGTCCAATCACACTTGGCCAATAAAGAATTCTATTTTATTCTATTCTAACATTTTAGATAGTTTAAAAAGAGCTGTATTCGTGGGGAATTATATTATGAAGAGTTTCTAATCATCTCTTCTTCTTTCCTTTTTTTCTTTTCCATCTTGTCATCCTGAGAATTTCTGGATTTGATAACTGAATCACAGGCAGCAGACCTTGGAGATCAGTTCTCTCCCCTTCCCCAAAGCTTTATTACATTTCAGAAAAATGTCAGAGACAAAAAAAGCAAAGCAAAAAGAATTTTTCAAAAAGAGGGAAGGATGGAGAAAAAGAAAAATTGGGAGAGTGCAAACAAAAAGGGGAAAAAGCTATAGAAAAAAGTAACTTCCAACTTTCTTTTGTACAGGTAAAAACCTAAAAGCCAACTGTCTTTGAACTAGAAGAACTATAACAAATAGTGTCCAAGAAAGGGGTCCAAATAGACAAAAATGTAGACGTTGCATGCCAAAAATAACTAGACACAAATAGAATGACAGAGTTGGAAGGGACCTTAGAGGTCTTCCAGTCCAACCACCTGCTCAGGCAAGAAACCTTTTACTATTTCAGACATTTCTGTCCAATCTCTTCTTAAAAACTTCCAGTGTTGGAGCATTTACAATTTCTGGAGGCAAGTTGTTCCACTGGTTAATTGTTCTAGGTGTCAGGAAATGTCTCCTTAGTTCTAGGTTGCTTCTCTCCTTGATTAGTTTCCACCCGTTGCTTCTTGTCCTGCCCTCAGGTGCTTTGGAGAATAGCTTGACTCCCTCTTCTTTGTGGCAGCCCCTGAGATATTGTAGCACTGCTATCATGTCTCCCCTAGTTCTTCTTTTCATTAGACTAGACATAACCAGTTCTTGTAACCGTTCTTCATATGTTTTAGCCTCCAATCCCCTAATCATCTTTGTTGCTCTTCTCTGCACTCTTTTTTTCCCCATGCCATCACTCTACTAAATACATAATTCCCTCAGCACTGTCTTATGCCTAAGGACATCTAACCATGTAGTAGGACTGTATTCCTATTATCCTTCTCATCTTTCCTATTAACTACTTTTATTGATATCTTATTATCTTACGATATCACTTTGTTGATTGTATCTTATGCTTTATGATTGTATCTTATGCTTTATGATTTATCACTTTGTTGCTTTTATATATGCTGAGGGCTTATGCACCACAGACAAAATCACACTTGGCCAATAAAGAATATTCTATTCTATATTCTATTCCAAAAGCTGGACAAAGTCTTCTCTTTAATCAAAGCTGTCCATTTGTCCATCTCTGCCAACTCTGTTGATTCACCATCCGTTCTTTCATTGTGATTACATGTGAGCTCTTCCATCTCTGAGCATGCTTGCTGCTGTTATAAAAAAAACAAAAGTTCTGAATCTGTTTGTCTATCAAACCTTTAAAAAAAGGCCTCTGGTTCCAGTTGTAAGTTCAGTAGAAGAAGATCAGCTCTTGGGGTTCAATGGTGAAGAATACCTACTGGCTTCCATTTATGCTTGCAAACTCCTGAAGGCAACTGAGCAGCCATTGTGTGACCCAGCATGAAACGTTGAGTTGGGGCAGTGGCTGTCAGTG